TCCAGCTGCTGTGGCACCTTCGCCTTGAAGCCTGCTCTTGTCAGTCCACCTCACGGTGATCTGCTCTTGCAGTGTTTGAACTCTGATGGAGAAGTGATGAGGAAAAGTTATCCCACCAGAATTCTCATTTCCAAAATAATTCTGAAAACAATACTTTGAGAATGTTAGATTGAAAATGTGACTCAAAGTGCATAAGTGACAGAGATGGTCGCTGCAGTGCCTTCCAGGGAGGTTGGAACCTGTCACCTGGCAAGCCCATAGTTTTGCATAGTACACAGTGGTAAGCTTCGGACTGTGGGTTTGGGGGACAGCCACTGCCACAGTGCTGAGGCTTTTTTCATAATAGGAGGGAGAGGCATTTGAAGCACCCTATGAGAAGAAATCTCAGAGTGAGGGGGAAAAATGCCAGAAAGGCCGATACAGGTTAGTGGAAAGATGAGAGTCAACATGCCAGCAGTTGTATGGCTGAGAAGTGACTAGAGAACAAGAAGGGCTGGGTGACATGTTCCAGTTGTTGGCAGAGGAGCATGTGGGACAGCCTCCTGGACATCTCCACTACCTGATGCTCGCCAAAGCTTACCTTACTCACTACTGCTGTGGTCTCAACTCTAGGAAGACATCTGGGTTGCCTCAGGGGGTACAGACAGCATGGGTACAGACATCTGGAAGATGAGGGGATGTCATCTGCATTCCCTTTTTTTTTTTTTTTTTTTGAGATGGAGTCTTGCTCTGTTGCCCAGGCTGGAGTGCAGTGGCATGATCTCGGCTCACTGCAACCTCTGCCTCCTGGGCTCAAGCCATTCTCCTGCCTCAGCCTCCCAAGCAGTTGGGATTACAGGTGCCCGCCATCATGCCTGGCTAATTTTTCTGTTTTTGTAGAGATGGGTTTCACCATGTTGGCTAGGCTGGTCTTGAACTCTTGATCTCAGGTGATCTGCCGGCCTCAGCCTCTGACAGTGCTGGGATTACAGGCTGCGCCCAGCCATCTGTGTTCTTCTTGAGTGAAGCTAACTCTGTGTGTGTGTGTGTGTGTGTGTGTGTGTGTGTGTGTGTGTGTGTGTGCGCGCGCGCGCACACGCGCGCACATGCAGGTGAATGCTGCTCCTATGGTAAAGCTCCGTATTCTAAGTATAAGGCCTGGTCTTAGAAACAGGAGGAGGCTGGGTGCAGTAGCTCACGCTTGTAATCCCAACACTTTGGGAGGCTGAGGTGGGTGAATAACTTGAGATCAGGAGTTTGAGACCAGCCTGGCTAACAAGGTGAAACCCCATCTCTACTAAAGACACAAAAAATTAGCAGGGCGTGGTGACAGGCACCTGTAATTCCAACTACTCGGGAGGCTCAGGCAGGAAAATTTCTTTAACTAGGGAGGCAGAAGCTGCAGCGAGCCATGATCATGCCATTGCACTCCAGCCTGGGCAACAAGAGCAAAACTCTGTCAAAAAAAAAAAAGAAAGAAAGAGAAAGGAGGGCTAGATAGAGGAAAGGAGAGATGGAGGCAGGGAGGGATGGAAGAAGGAAGGAAAAAAAAGAAAAGGAAAGAAAGAAGTAGAGTAGGAGACAGATGAGATGCATAAACACAAGGAATGCAGTTAAAGACCCGGGTCTGTAGCCCGGTGTGAATAGTTGGAGAAGGGAAGTGTTTTCTTCTTTGCACTTAGTAGGTTCTCATTAACTAGAGACCGATAGTGGTTGTCACTACTCTTGCTAAACAGTGTCCCAGATTTCCCTCTCACAAGGGAGTGCGTGAGTGGGCATCCTAGCCTACCCCCTGCAGGGCAGCCTAGTCCTCTTTGTTGCTAGGTTTCTATTCAGACGTTGCTGTCTGATTCGGTTGGCAGTTTAAAAAATAAGCCAGAGGTCTACAAATCAACTCAGATTTGGAGTCTGCAGAGACAGCCAGGGTCCTAGTAAAAGCTGGTAGCACCTTGTAATGAAACATTTATTAGAACTGTGGTTTTGCAAATGACGAATCAATTTAATGTTTCTTCTGGTAGACGCAGAAGCGCAGCTGGGTTTCACACTCATCACAAGCTGACATTTCCTTGAACCGCCTAACTTCAGCCTTGCATTGTGTAGCAAATGTGTGACACAAATGTAGCAGAACGAAATGCTCCTGCAAGGGCACAAACTGCTCTAACAAGGCCAGTGCAGCAGCCCGTGCGCGTCCGACATAAATAAAGCATCAGCAGAGTCAAGTCAGGAAAACAGAACTCATAATTGAACTGAGATGAGGACAGGAGTCAGGTTTTGTAAGATCATCCCAAAGTGGACACAGCTAATGGCTTTATCATTTCTTCTCAAATAAGGGCTGAATGGTTGAGTGGGCAGCCTTGGGAAGCTGGTAGCAATGAGAGAAAGGTCACAGACACACAGAACTGCCAAGCAGCGATCACAGGTGCTCTTGTTGAAGACTTTTTTTTTTAAGGCTTGAGAAATGAATGGAGGGACAAGCAAGAAAACAAAAACAGGATGGAGGTAACTTCTGTTCCACAGAGAAATCCTAAAGCCGTGGAAAAGCTGTTTTCCATGACAGCATTCGACTCTGAATCCTTATCAGGGACTATGGCTTTTGCATGTGTGGATTTCACCTGCTTGGTACCTAGCACAGTGCCTCACTTGTGGAAGTTACCTGGCGCAGTGTGTCAGACTGTTTCAACTTCATTCATGTTCTGTTCTTTCTTTGTTTCCAATCCCTGGTTCCCATTGAATATGGTTTTGGTTTAACACAATCCTAGCACCTGATCAGAAGTGGACAGGCAAGACCGGGCACGGTGGCTCACGCCTGTAATCCCAGCATTTTGGGAGACCGAGGTGGGTGGATCATGAGGTCAGGAGTTCGAGACCAGCCTGACCAACATAGTGAAACCCTGTCTCTACTAAAAATACAAAAATGAGCCAGGTGTGGTGGCATGCGCCTGTAATCCCAGCTACTCAAGAGGCTGAGGCAGGAGAATCGCTTAAACCCGGGAGGCAGAGGTTGCAGTGAGCCCAGATCGTGCCACTGCACTCCAGCCTGGGTAACAGAGCAAGATTCTGCCTCAGAAAAAAGATGAATCGGTGGAAGGCAAGCAGAAAAGACAGAATTGTGTAAAGCAGAATCAGTATAAATAGTAAATTCCAGACTGTGACTTCTAGTCAAGATGGAGTGTCTAAAAACTAGGACAAAATACACAAAACAATGATTTTCAGATATTGGACATCAGGCAGGGCAGGACAATGACCCCTGAGCTAGGGGACACCAACAGGATGAGCCCTGCTTGTCCAGCTCACTTCCTAAAAAAGAGGGAACCAGAAACAGATGGTTCAGGAGATGGTACTGGGAGTATGGGGAGGCCAAAGGGGCTGCAGTTTGCAGGGCAGGGAACCGCAGAGATGTGAGTTACATAGAGAGAGCATCAGAGACTTGCTAAGGGGCCCTCCAGCCAGCGGCTGAGCACTGATAGGCTTAGGCATGCGATGTGACTACCCAAGGCTGGGAAAAGAGCCAAAAAGTCGCAAAAGAATTACAGAGACCAATCACTTGAACTCACACAGGCCCAGCAACAGTTTGTGATCCAGAGTGGAAAATCTCATAATTCACACCACGTCAGGCAGAATACTTAATGGTATTATCTCTGCAATTGGGAATTTTTTTTTTTTTTTTGAGATGGAGTCTCTGTCGCCAGGTTGGAGTGCATGGCGCAATCTTGGCTCACTGCAACCTCTGCCTCCTGGGTTCAAGTGATTCTCCTGCCTCAGCCTCCCAAATAGCTGGGACTACAGATGTGCGCCATCACACCCAGCTAATTTTTGTATTTTTTTTTTTAGCAGATACAGGGTTTCACTATGTTGGCCAGGATGGTCTTGATCTCTTGACCTTGTGATCCACTTGCCTTGGCCTTCCAAAGTGCTGATTTTACAGGTGTGAGCCACTGGGCCTGGCTTGCAGTGGTGAAACTTTCTAACAAGGTCTACTTTGATCCAGCCAACAAAGCTTCCAGGTATGCTACAAAAGGATTGAACTTTCCTCAAGTAACTAAATGGCATTCTGGAACAAAGCTCAAAAACATCCATCGTAACAGTAACTATCCAGCACCCAACAAAGTAAAATTCATAGCAAATGTATTTGTAATAGCCGAAAAATGGAAACAAGCCAAATGTCCATCATCAGGTGAAAGGGTGAACAAATTGCAGTATAATCCACACAGTGGAATAGTATGCAGCGACAAAAAGGAGCAAACTGCTGACACGTGCAACAAAACTGACGAATCTCAAAATAATTACACTGAACAAAAAAAGGCCAGGCTAGAAACAAAAACAAATCAGAATACATACATTATTTTTCCATTTATACAAAATTTTTGAATATTCAAGCTAATCAATAGGGACAGAAAGCAGATCATTGGCTGGCTTGGGATTCTGTGTCTGGGAGGGGAATGACCAAGGCTAGGAGGAAAATTTGAAGATTTTGAATGTGTTCATGACTGCATTGTGGTGGCAGTTTCATATGCATATACACACATTGTTAAATCTTATAAAATTGTTTAAACACATACAGTTTATTTTATGTTGGATATATCTTATTAAAGCTTTCTTTTTTTTGAGACAGAGTCTTGCTCTGTCACCAGGCGCCAGGCTGGAGTGCAGTGGCATGATCTCGGCTCACTGCAACCTCCGCCTCCTGGGTTCAAGCAATTCTCCTGCCTCAGCCTCCTGAGTAGCTGGGACTACAGGCACGGGCCACCATGCTCAGCTAATTTTTGTATTTTAGTAGACTTGGGGTTTCACCGTGTTGGCCAGGATGGTCTCAATCTCTTGACCTTGTGATCTGCCTGCCTCGGCTTCCCAAAGTGCTGGGATTACAGGCATGAGCCACCTCGCCCGGCCAAAGCTTTTTTTAAGGTAAGTTCATCTCCTAAGTTGTTTAACTAGGAAAAAAAAAAAAGTATTTCCTTTTTTAATGGAAATACTTAAGTGTTTGGACAAATACTGCTTTCATTTTCTGATTTTCACACAAATGCCATGAATTCAGGAGATGAAATATTGCTGTTTCCTATTTAGAGAATGAGGCTAATCTCCCAGAGGTGAGCTGGTTTTTTCAAGTTCACACGGCTTGGCTTGGTGATGGTGGTAGAATCACAGTCACAGTTCAGGTTTCTGACTCGTGGAGCAATCACAGTGGCTTCTCTGCTTAGTTACAAGTCTCATGGGGAACATTGCAATTGGCCTGTCAGAGATTCTGTTTTCATCAGCCACAATGCAGCCAATAAATCTCAAAGATCATTGCACTTTCACGGGTTACTAGATTTGGAATAAAACCAAAGTTACAAGTGACAGTTTGAAGGAATTTTCAATCACAAAATGCAAAGTGTGTTGCACTCCAGCCACCCTGGATGAGTTATTGGCCAGTTTATTGATCATGTTGGGTAATCACTGTAATCCCCAGAGCTGTCAGATGGAGACATGTGTAATGGAGCACATGTAATTCCCAATAAAAGCAGAAGTCCATGAAAGGAAGTTTTCCTTGTGAGTAACACACTCTCCTTAGAAAGTCTCAAATTCCCATTAGATCAAAACATACAGCTGTTTTCTCTCCAAATATATCTTTGAATTTTTCTTTTATCTCAAATATGTCCAGCAACCAGAGAAGGACATGGATTGCTCTACAGTTCCAAGCTCTGCACAGTAAGATTTGAATACACGAAAAATAACCCCATATAATTCTATTCCCTTGCTTTATGCCTCACCAGCCAGGTGACTTGGACAAGACTTTCATCTGAGCACCAATTTTCACATTCTGTCTAAGGGCAGATAATGCTTATATATGGAACAGTGTTGGTCTTCCAATCCAAGTCTTTCTAAGAAATGAAGAAATGTGTACAGGTGATCATTCAAATTGTTGCTTTTATTTTCAGTTACCTACTCTATACTGTTATTCTCAAAATTTCTGAGCTACACAAAATTGTCGTTCCTTTTTTGTGTTTTCAGCTGGAATCCTGTCTGCAACAACATTTCCTCATCTCCAGGCAAACTGGGTTACTCCTCACCCCTCTCTGGTCACGCTGCCTGACTGTGGCCTCAGCCCTGAACCATCCAGGTGCTCTCCTTACCCCTCACTGGGCTCACTGGGATTTACCCAGAATCACAGATTCCATTCCATGGGCTCTTCTTTCAAGCTCCATTTTAAATCTTTTACAAATCTTCTCTGATTACTTAATGAACGCATTTAGCTCTTTCTACCTTCTCAAGTTATTGGAAGTGCAAGTTTTCTATTTGTTTATGAATTTGTACCTTTTACTATCTTTTTTTTTTTTTTTTTTTTTTTTTTTTTTTTTTTTTTTTTTTTTTTTGAGATGAAGTCTCGCTCCATCGCCTGGGCTGGAGTGCAGTGGCGTGATCTCTGCTCACTGCAACCTCTGCCTCCCAGGTTCAAGCGATTCTCCTGCCTGAGCCTCCTGAGTAGTTGAAACTACAGGCCATAGCCACCACACCCAGCAAATTTTTGTATTTTTAGTAGAGATGGGGTTTCACCATACTGGCCAGGCTGGTCTCAAACTCCTAAACTTGTGATCCACCCACCTGGGCCTCCCAAAGTGCTGGGATTACAGGCATGAGCCACCACACCCGGCCCTTACTATCCTCATCTAAATACATGTCTGTTTCCTTCACTTGACAGTCAGCACTTGAAGGCAATATTAGATTTTACTCAAGTTTATAGATTGTATGAAACCTGTCATCTGGGCAATTCAGTAATATGCAGCAGATACAAAGAGGTGTGAGGGAAAAGAAGATAGATACAGCTCACAACTGCGTGCCCACGCTTTGGATTAAGAGGCAGCAGACACACTGTCACAACCACAGACGTGCCCCCTGCACCCCTCACCAATCCCGTCCTCTCCCTCTTCCCTTAGCCGTAACCATTAGCTTATACTGTCGGCTGATAATGCCCAGCCTCTTCCACACATTTTTACTATGTATTTTCATCTCTCTAACTATTTTTTTTTCTGAGACAGAGTTTCAGTCAGTTGCCCAGGCTGGAGTGCAGTGGCTTCGATCTCAGCTCAATGCAACCTCTACCTCCTAGGTTCAAGCAATTCTCTTGCCACAGCCTCCCAAGTAGCTGGGTTTACAGGCATGCACCACCACTCCCGGCTAATTTTTGTATTTTTAGTAGAGATGGGGTTTCTTCTTTTGGCTAGGCTGGTCTCGAACTCCTGACCTCGGGTGATCTGCCCACCTGGGCCTCCCAAAGTGCTGGGATTATAGGCATGAGCCACCACGCCTGGCCCATCTCTTCAACTATTATGCCATTAAATAGTTATTATGCCAAAAAGCATCCTGCCTGCTTTTAAACTGAATGTAAAAATGGGGCCATGCTGCAAGTATTTCATAGTGACTGGCTTTTTTTTTTTTCTAATTCAAAATATTGTCCTTAAGATTCTTGCATGTTGCTGCTTGCAGCACACTCAGGCCATTGAACTGCAAGTCACTGCTGCTGCCAGGACACTCTGAACAAGCAGGCAGATAGAGGAATCACCTGAAGGCCGAGAGGAGCTACCCACCGCGGCAGGAAGAATAGGGCGGAACTCAGGTGATCCGCGGAGGCACCTGGGCATCCTCTCTTGCCATTGGAGTAGTGAGCAGATATAGGAGGCAGCCTTGAACTGAGAAGGAGGGACTGCCAAGCTGCAGCCTTCTCAGGAGTGAAGTTTGGCCATACCACCAGCAAGCCAGCAGGTGAACAGAGGTGGTTGTTGAAGGAGAGGAGAATGCAGAATGCAGAGTCAAAGAAGGAGATGAACGGCAGTGTTGGGGCCATACCACCAGCTCTCCGCTGTCAGTTTCCCCCAGGGAGAAGGGGGCTTTAGGGGGCCAGTGCAGCTGCATCTGTGCAGCATAAGGAGTGAGCCAAGGAGCCTGGGGAGACGCCTCTCAGAGTTGTAATTGTCCAGCACCCCACTGCTGACCTCTGAACCCCATTGCTCCAAGCACCCCAGATCACACTTCCTGGGTCTCCTCTACCCATGATGGAGCTTGGCAGGGACACTAAGGCAGGCCCACTCCCAGGAGAAGGGGGCCACTTTGAATGCATGGCTACGGCCTGGAGCCTCCTCAATGACTTCTCAAATTTTCACCAGCACTGCCCTGCCGTTTCACCCCAAAATTCCTTCCTTCCCTCTCTCCTTCCCTTGTAATCAGACCTGCGCCATGGCCTGCCACCTCCCAGCCTCTCAGCTCTGCCCATTCTCTCTCACAGGTGCTTCCCCAAATAATGTTCTTGCACATGTTTTCCCACCTTGGTGCCTGATTCTTGGAAGACTCAGACAAGCATGTCCCTGTTTACCTTTCTGATAGTGGTTTTCCATACTTTTCCTCCCATTTTCACCTATTTCATCGAATTTATTCATCTTTACAAAGAGTCAACTTTTGGTTTTGTTGATCCTCTCAATTAAATATTTGTTTCTGTTTTATAGTTCCTGCTCTTACCACTTTTAGTTCCTTTCTTTCAAAATGAACCTTTTGAAGTTTATTTTACTGTTCTCTTTCAATATTCTCAAAATGGATGCCTAATTCACTAAACTTTTTTTTTGTTTTTGAGACACAGTTTCACTTTTGTTGCCAGTCTGGAGTGCCATGGCACCATCTAGGCTCACGGCAACCTCCGCCTCCCGGGTTCAAGTGATTTTCCTGCCTCAGCCCCCAAGGAACTAAGATTACAGGCATGTGCCACCACGCCTGGCTAATTTTGTATTTTTAGTAAAGACAGGGTTTCTCCATGTTGGTGAATCTGGTCTCAAACTCCCAACCTCAGGTGATCCACTGGCCTCAGCCGCCCAAAATGCTGGGATCGCAGGCATGAGCCACCACACCTGGCCTAATTCACTAAACTTTATGCTTCCCTCATTCTGTATCTGTTTAGAGGCGACAAATGTTCCTTTAAGTGTTGTTTTAACTGTACTCCACATTATTGTGTATTTTTTTCACTTTGTTTTGTTCAAAATATTTTCTAATTTTGATTATGACTTATTTTTTGACCTGAGTTGTTTAAAAACAGAGGCAGTTGGCCGGGCGCGGTGGCTCACGCCTGTAATCCCAGCACTTTGGGAGGCCGAGGCGGGTGGATCACGAGGTCAACAGATCGA